TGTCCTGTCCTGTCCTGTCATGTCCTGTCTTGTCTTTCCTTGTCTTGTCTTGTAGGCTTGTAGACGCCTGTAGACGCTTGTAGCGTTTGAATAATTGAATTATTTTGAAGTCCCGCCATTTTGAATTTTGTACAGAATGAGCCCGCAAAAAGGAACAGGCTCTATCATGGACCAGCAACGAGCGAATCACTGGCGTTTCCTGTCCATTCCGTTGAATGTCAATGGAAAAACTCACTCGTGCATGTTTTATCAAAATTGCACTCGGAACCATTTTATTACCTATACTTAGAATCTAGATAAAAATTACTCTATTCTCATTGGCTAAGTGCACTGCAATTGTTTTTGAAATTGCACACTGTGTGATTACTGAGTGCAATTAACAAAACACGAGCAGAGCCTGGAAACAAGACAGGAAGTATCAACTTAGCGGCAGATAGTAAATTTTCGCCTTTTGCCCACTTTCAATGGAAAATCGTAAAAGGGATATAACGATTTAAGTAAAACGTGAATATAACAATTTAAGTACAAAAATCACATAGAATGAAAACGTAACTCAAGTTATTAACTACCTGTTCGCAGGAACCGCAAAGTAAAACAAGAAATTCGTGTCGTATTACTTCGCTTTGTGCGAATGGCGCGTATGTTTTGTTAAAAATACTGATTGTCAAAACTTTCTTGTTTGCAGCGATAGTCTAGTAAAATCAACACAGACTTGACATAATATATATTCATGTTATGACAATGTGTTCCAGGATGAGCGACAAAATTTGAAGTGGAATTATAGATTACGTGTCATACAATAAATATGCCCATAATATAATTATGTGCATGCTTGCGATCTATGGCAATATTTACAAACATATACTGTACAAAGTATTTTTCGCACATTATTCGGTTTATAGAAAAGTACACAATATATCATATCGTTAAGGACACAATATTTTGATCGTAAAATAAAACAAAAACTGCAGGTTTATACGCTTGACAAGTCTACCAATCTTACTATTAGATCAGTGATATATATAGATCCGTCATCCGTGTATAATTTTATCAGTATATGGCATATAAACGACTTAGCGATATCTTAAGCTACAGAATGTGTTTTCAAGATTACCTATACTATTTGTTTTCTTTTGTGAAAACACCACACCGAAATTTCTATAATTTGTAAATAAATATACGCGGTGTATCCACCAAGCAAAACAATTAATTTTAAACAAAACATTGGAAAGAAAGGTCACGGAGGCATTCTGCATTGAAAGAATGTAACCTGACCTGAACTCAAAGGATGAGCTGCAGGAAGTTAAGGGATTTTGTATATAGTTTAATGTAATTACATATGCAGGCACGGACACGAAATTTTAACGCTCTCACGGACACGCCATGAACAAAAAATTAAGCGCGCGCACGGACACGAATTAGTTTGAAGCGCACGCCAGTTATTATACGCAATCCTAACGGATTTTGTCTAAATTTGTAATTGTTTTTAAAGTTTTATATCTTTAGTTACGTTTTAACCTGCAGATGGAGTTATACTCCGAAACGTAGTTATTAAAATAATCTTTTTGTACTAAGCCTATATGGTCTAATTATTCAAACACAAAACAATTATAGTTATTTCGGCATGCAAACGCACAAGGAACTTGCTAGAGTTTTGAGACACAGCTATTCACTTACCATGCATGCAAAAGCTTTCAGGAACTATTGGGGGGATTGGTAGCTCCCCTCTCTGATCTCCCCACGTAATGCCTTCCATTGTATTAAATGAATAATATCAATAATACCCACCTGCATTACATGTGATCTCACCGTCAGTTGAATGTTCCCAATAAATAAACGAACTCTCTGGAAGTATGCCATGCAACGTAGCTTTGCCGTCCGGCAATACAACCACGGGTCTACAATTTGGATAGGGCCCTTGATGAATAGTCGATACTTTTAACGAACCCAGATCGATTTGACAAACTTCCATATTTTCGCAGCATGTGTAAATCATGTTCCCATCGCATGCTATTTCGGCAATTGTGGTGAATGATGATGGTAAGGTGACCAACTTTACATCATTGTTCTGCCAATCCCAGATAAAAAAGCGGTTGTTGTTGCATCCAATTATATCTGCCTTCCAGTCCGAAACGAACCGAACTAACTTAACTCCACTGTCAAACACAATACCAGTAATCTCAAGGCCATCAAGCAAGTCCCAAACCTTAAAGAAGTTCATTAGAAGGAGATTATTTAGGACATTACCAGCTAATGAGTATAAAACTAATGAGTATAATGTGACTTGACAATGACTGGTTAATTTCCTATGCGTTTCATTTAAAGTGTTCTTAGAGCATAATCTCTAAAATAATGCTTTGCTTGAGTATCAGTCCCTGTTCTCATTTCGTTAAATTCGGGTGGATGGAAGCGAAAAGAGGGCCTGACATAAATCTTTGTATGTGTATTGATGTCTGATGGCATGTGAAAAAGCCAAAATCCGGCTTTTCACCTGATTGGTCTATCAGACTAAAAACAAGTTAATCTTTTGATGCGTTAGTGCTATAATCTTGGACATAACTGATTGAGACTATATCCCCTCCCTCCCCTACAAAATTCGCATATTTTATGAGAAACCCCATGCTGAGTCATGTTGCTCTTCTTTAAAAACCCTCACTCCCCCAACTCAATGTCAAGCTTGTGTTATGGTATATTACCAAAAGTTGTTTCGGCGTTGTTTACATCA